CATCTGGTCATCAAACTACTGCCGTGCAGGACCTGTTCTGGTAGGCACCTACCTATTGAATGCTTGCTGGATTGGGCTCTCTGGAAAATTCACACAAAGCATCTGGGGAGGGGGAAAGGGAGGAGCAGGACCTCTCGCATAACTTTCAGCTCAGTGGTTAGGGTAATCAGCTAAAATGTGAGACCCACCTGTTCAAGTCCCTCCTCTGCCTTATGTGGAAGAAAAGATTTCCATGGGTGGTACCTGCTGACTCTCAGGTGAGTGTTCTATCAGTGGGCAATGGGACAGTCTGCCATGGAGCTCCTTCAACACCTTCTGAAGCTGTTACTCTGTGAATAACCAGAGTCACTGAAGCAGGGTAGTGGACTCTGGGTCTCCCACAGAGTGGGTGAGTGCTCGCTGCAGGAGGAGTGGGAGAGAGAGATGACATGAAAAACACTTTTAATCATGTGAAAACATTACAATATATACACTCAAAAGATATTAAGAATATAAAAAGAACCATAACTTAATTAAATGAGCATTAAATGAATCATTAAAGCCTCCGCACAAGTTTATTGAAAATATTAACACCTAGTCAACCAAAAAGTGCCCATGTTACATATCAGTGTATGAAAAGTACAGTCAGTCCATAGCTAGGCCACAATTGGTGCATGTGGAACAGCTCTTGTAGGTCACACACACACACACACACACACACATTATTCCAGATACTATGTTTTGGTTAGATTTCTAAATGGCTAGTTTTGCCAGACCCAATAAAAACTTAGGCAGGAAAGAAACCAGCCACATCAGAGCACTGTATCTCTGTCCCAGAACAAGAAGGGACTTGGAGAAAACTCATCCCAAACCACTGAAAATCGGCTGCAAAGAAACCAAGGCAGGGGTTCCCAAACTTTTTGACACGGGGACCAGTAAATCCATTCACGAACTTTTGGAGGACCGGTAACATTCATTTGCATATTTGCATATTCATTAATCAAATGATGAATATTCAAATAAGTTGTTTCTGGTCCTCCCAAAGCCCCCAGTGCCAGCTTTAGCAAAGCTTTTGATATGGTCACCCACAATATTTTTGCCAGCAAGTTAAGGAATATGGATTGGATAAATGGACTGTAAGACAGACAGAAAGCTGGTTAAACCAGGATTTCCCAAACTTTTTACTTTAGTTGGAACCCTTTTTTTTTTAATACTGTTTTTTGCAGCCCAAAAATATAAACACATAAAAAACAAACTGAGAAAATACCAAACATATAACATGTCTGGTATTTTCTCATTAGGTACGTTTTATTATTACTAGATGTATCAGTTTGTAGTTTCGAACTGCCTGGCTGGTAAATGTGCTCAGGCTGCATGCGTGTGTCTACCAGCCAGCCAGTTCGCAACTAC